GATATCTACATGCAAAAAATAACTTTATACACCAACTTTCACCCTTCACAAGTAAATAACCCAACATGAATCACAGCCCTAAATGAAAAGTACAAAATTATAAAACTCCTAGGAGATCACATAAGAGAAAATCTACATAATCTTGGGTATGGCAATAACTTTTTAGCTGTAACACCAAAGACATGCTTTATGAAATAAATGATTAATAAGCCAGAATTCATTTAAATTAAAAACTTCTGTGAAAGACAATGTCAAGAGAATGAGAAAACAATCTACAGACAAGAAATATTTACAAAAGATACATCTGAAAATGAATTATTATCCAAGATAGACAAAGAATTCTTAAAATCAACAATAAGAAAACAAATAACCTGGTTACAAAATGGGCCAAAGACCTTAACAGACGCCTCACCAAAGATGATGTACAGACAGCAGATAAGCATCTGAAAAGATACTCCACATTCTATATCATCAAGGAAACGCAAATTAAAATAACAATGAAATGCCACTATTAGAAAGGCCAAAATTCAGAACATGTGGTCAAGGATGCAGAGCAAGGAGAACTGTCATTGACTGCTGGGAGAAACGCAAAATGGTGCAGCAACTTTAGAAGACAGTTTGATGGCTTCTTAAAAGAAGTAAATGTATTTTTACCATTTGACCCAGCAATTGTGCTCCTTGATATTTACCCAAAGGAGCTGAAAACTTATGTCCACAAAAAAATCTGTACACAGATGTTTATAGCAGCTTTATTCATCACTGCCAAAACTGAGAAGCAACCAAGATATCCTTCAGGAGGTGAATGGATAAACAAACTGTTACATCGAGACAATGGAATTATTTGGCACTAAAAAGAAATCAGCTGACAGTAGAATATTACTTGCAATAAAAATATGAGCCATTAAAATATATGGAAGAACCTTAAATGCATATTATTAAGTGAAAGAAGTCAGTCTGAACAGGCTACATACTATATGATTCCAATAATATGACATTTTGGAAAAACACAAAACTATGGAGAGAAAAATGATCAGTGGTTGCCAGGGGCTGGGGGAAGGCCATGAATAAGCAGAGCACAGAGGATTTTTAGGACAGTGAAAATACTCTATATGATACTATAATGATGACTACATGGCATTATACATTTGTCCAAACCCACAGAATGTACTACACCAAGAGCGAACCCTGGACTTTGGGTGACTATGATGTGTCAGAGCAGGTTCAACAGTTGTAACAAATTCACCACTCTGGTGAAGGATGTTGGTGATGGGAGAGGCTATGCATGTGTGGGGTCAGGGGTACATGGGAACTTCTGTACTTCTTAGTTTCTCTGTTAACTTAAAACGTTATTAAAAAATTAAGTGTTAAAGTATGTTTTATTACTCATGTGTTCTGCTTTATCATGACATTCTCACAAAAACTCAGCAAGGTACTTGTATTTATCCAAGTCATATTTTTACAAATGAGGAAAATGATGTTTACATGTGTTAAGTAACTCCCCCAGTATCCTAGAGGCAGTAAGTGATACAGCCTAGACTGGGATTTAGGTTGGTCTGATATCAAGTCTATTTTTCCCACTTTATCAGGAGTCAGCATATTATAGCCTAAGGGCCAAATAAATTCCCCCACCTGTTTTGGTAAGTTAAATTTTATTGGAACAAAGCCACCCTAATTATTGTCTGTGGCTGCTTTCACACTGCAAGAGCAGAACTGAACAGTTAAAACAGAGATATCACAGCCTAAAATATTTACTATCTATCCCTTTTCAGGAAAAGCTTACCAATCCCTAAACTACATGACTGTGTCTTCACATGGTCACTTTTCATCCTGAATTCTGTATGTGTGTTCAACTTTTAACCAACTTTCAAACATAAATGATACAAACTCATAGTTGACAATAAAAATAAAAGTATTTCCAGATGATAATCCTGTTTATTACCTGGAAAGGAACAATATGTTAATTTAATATTTAGTCATTTCTGGACTCATTAGAAACTAATAGAGTGAATATTATCATCCCTTAAAAAATCTTTAAAGTTACTAAGTTATAAAGTAATTGAAATCGAAGAATAGTTGTGTGCATGCACTTGCACAACTTGGAAAACTGAGGACAAATATAAAGAAAGATGTTGATTATTTGCATGTCATTGATTCAATATTCCAAATTCCACCTAAAATGATACAATTCACACTTTGCAAAAAACCTTGAAATTAACCCATCAATTTTTTCCTCTTATAAGATTTTTAATTAAACGGTTTTCTGAAAATATGTTTTAAGATACAGAATAATTCATCTAAAGATTTGTGGTAAGATCAAGCCAAGAGTCTATGAACAATAAAAATAAAAATTTCAAATGAGAAGCATTCAGGAAAAATCATTACAAGTCATCACTTTTCTCCAGCCATCTATGTTGGAGTGACAGCATAGCTTTTTCTCATCCCACAGACAGAGTCCTATGCCACCCAATATGCTCATCCTCCACTTTATTGCTCATCCTGTGGCTACTGTTGCCATAGCTGCTACCGGAGAATACGGAAGAGCTCAGAGGAAGAGAAGAGACAGAAAAGGCAGTAGGTGAGTGTATGCGTATGTGTCTGCGTGTCCCTATGGATGAGTGTGTGTCTATATATATATGTGTCTATATGTGTGGCTATTTCTTCCCCAAAGAATTTGAAGGGGTTTGTAAAATAACACACCACCTAACACAGCTCAAGATAAGGAGAAGAAAGTCAGGGTCTGCGTGAATACTCCAAGATGGGAATTTATAAACAAGTAGAAATGATAAGCATCAATTTCAATTTATTATGTGTGCTGTTTAATAAATAAACTATGAAGTGACTTGGAGATACTAGCAACCCTCAAGCACTTTTTGGAGCACTTTGTCCCCAGCTTACCAAGTGGTCACAAGGAGTAACTACACCAAAGACCTTTTGTCTTTTCCTTTTCAGGGCCACAGTAGGTCTCTCTTTATATATCTCAAGGCCATATCAAAGTCTTATTTTAAAATTAGAATATGCCCAAATTACCAAATACTCTACATGATGATTAAAGAAATCAAATTCCATGAGTGATTTTGATTCTTAACAAATTCTTGAGTATTTTTTTAAAAGACTAAGTTTCAAAAACTGTCCTCAGAATGATAGTTACTTCTGCATAGACATATTCCTTTTAAAAAAGAAACAAAGTCCTAAGCATTATTGCAAAATTAAGTAATCTGGCAGAAGAAAAGATTAGCCCCACTTTTTACTATTAGTTCAAACATATACATTCACCTACCCACACACACCTCTGATTCAGTCCATCTTTTTGACAAGGGAAGATGCAAAACTGAGTGAGAAACACCAAGATTTAAAGCATCAATCATCCCAACCATCAGTCATAAGTAAATATCAAAATGACACTTGGGGCTTACCTACCTACATAGAGAACACCCTCTTTAGTCTTTCCTGCTGCTTCTGCCACACCCTGTTTGGTTTTTTCAGCAGCAGCCACGACTCCCTCCTTGGCCTTTGAAAGTCCTTTCATTAACACATCCATGGCTATTGAATTCCTTTACACCACCCTGGAGAACATAAAATATACTTTGATAACTTTTCCATAAAGCAAAACAAAATTAGAACTACCCAAGGTTGAAAATCACTGAAAGTGAGCAGAATCTCCCAAAGTGTGAAACTCTTAAAAGAGTACCTTCATTTCAACCACTGGATCAACTAGCATTTTGTTTTGTTTAGATTTTGCGTTAAAATTTTAGCATCTCCCATCCATCTTGGCTGGTAAAAGTCTAGCCGCCTAAACATAGATTAGGATGAATCATCTGAGCTGTTCTTACTGCGTTTTCCAAGTGGAGTTGCATGAAAAGATGGACCCCTTTCAACTTCCCGGGGTCCAAAACGTGACTATAAGTTAGAATTGCGTTTAGACGACAGATCACAGGAAAAGAAAGGGAACTGGAGGCATGGGGTCAGGGACACTCTTAAATCCCAGAAGATGGCTAACAGGTTGACCATGGAGAGGGGAGGGAAGAGAACAACTCACTCTGGGTGTGGCTGAACCTCAGGCCAACTGCGTGCCCACTCGACAATTCACCCAGCCCTCGCCCTCTACCCGGAGCAGGCAGGCTGGCAGGCGCGAGTTCACACTCGTGGGCAGTCTCCAGAAGCTCGCCGGCCACTCGAGGGGGCGTTCTCAGTACGCTGAGCCTCCACCATCTCAAAGCCCTCACCTGTTAACCCCTTACCACCTGTTGACTTGCCCTCTTAGCGCTTCCATGATTTGCCAAACACAGCTTGTTTACAGAGAGAACAGAGAGGGCGGACTGGGGGATTTAAGTAAAGAGAGAAGTAAAAGTTGAATACTCATATTCGATTGAGCATCCTCGCGTTTCCAAGGAAAAGCGTATCAGAGATCCCTAACCTCTCAGCTTTTGAAGACGGGAAGACGGGAGTACTGGACGCAGGTGGAAAGCCAGGTCAATCTACTTTCATTAAGCTCACCAAAAGGATAAGTACCTTCGAAAAACTTGACTACAGTGGGTCGTCACTGCAGCACCAGCCCCCTCCCAGGTGTCCGCAATGACTCCTCTCCCACCAGGTTTTCTCCAGGATTTCCAAATCTGCCGTTTAGATCCACAGGTCCTTACCTGAATCCCTTGGCTCCTCGGAACTCTGATTTCTCCCCCACCCCTACTTAAAAAAAATTTTTTAAAACAGTTCCCAAATATTATTTAAATGGGAAAAGGGAGGATAAAAAGCGCACAGGAAGGGTGGAGGCGGCACTAGGAGAGGGATGGTCCCCAGAGGCGGCGGCTGTCAGCACAGCCCGGTGATGAGAGGCTGGGGGCGTCGGAGGCGAACCAGCGAACCTGTAGTCGAATTGCCAGTCCCCGTCCCTCGCACGAGAGGATCCGAGGGAAAAAGACAGAAGGTCAGAAGGGAAGGCGGGGAGAGAGCGCCAAGGATGCTAAAGGCAAGGCTCGGTCCCAGGGTCTGTTCTAAAGCCAGCACACACCTCACCCCGCGTCTCTGCGCTCGGTCGCTCGCCCCCTCTCCCGGGTCCCCTTCTCGTCGTGGTCCTCCTCCTCTTCCTCCTCCTTCTCCTCGGCTCACCGCCCCCGCAGCTGATTTGTCAGCGCCTCTCCCCGCCCCTCTCCCGGCGCTCGCTGCTTTCCCCGCCGCGTGCGCTTCACTCCTCTCCTCGGATGGGGGTGGGGGTGGGGGAAGGCTGTACCTCCAGCTTCAGCCGCCCGCCTGGTCCTGGGGGCCGGGTAGGTGGGATGTTCTTCACTTCACCTCAAGTTCAGGGTCGCAGGGGCTCTTCTGGAGATTCAAAGCTGTTATGCTTGGGCTGCCGTCTCGCCCTTTTCCCATCCACCCTCCTTCCCTGTCTCCGCCTTTCCCTCTGGTTCCTCAAGGGGAGCCCCACGTCAGAGCCAGCCTGGGGAAGTGGGACCACCGAAGATAGAACCAATCTGTCTGGGAGCTGCTGAAGAAGCCAGGCGGCTTAGGAAGTGTGCTCACAGAGCACGTTTCTCTCGGAACGTTGAAATGTGATTAAGGGTCGTAGAACACAACGTTAAGGATGCTTTTGTTTAAATATCCTTCAGATTTGCGTTTGCTCCTAACCTCTGATGAGCCCGAAATGGTCTCACAGGTGGAGAGGAGACTAGTAAAGAAGAGTTACAGGTTGAGGAGGCAGGAGGCTCGTCAAATCCTCTTCCCACCCCACTATCACCATTTTCTTTTCCACCAATCAGCGGCTGCCAGACGCTGACTTTCACATCAGTGGAACAAGAAATAAATATCCCCCAGCCGTCGAAACCAAGCGGCTGTAAGCTTTTCGATCTCAGAATGGAATTTACTTTCCAGAATCACGTGCCTGGATGGAAGAGACAAATCCACCGCGATTTATTCTCCTGAACTATCATTTGCAATTTCTCCTCCGTCCCCTTCTGAAAAGGGAAATTCTACACACCATTCACCTTTCTGACTTCTGATTTACGTTGTCCTTAGCGCTGACACGGCACCCCATCCCACACACGGACACACAAACAAGCTCGTAGGCTTCAAGACAACCCCCCCCCCCCCGCTTTGCTTAATACAGTTTCACCTTTCAGAGCTGGAGGGAAAACAGCTGTTCCTGGATCACACCAGAATGGAGAACCAAGCTCCTCCCCTAACAGAATGCCTGTGCTTTCTTTGCCTGGAATGGAAGGATGCTTTTAGAACTGGAAGGGAAAAACAAATCTTTGCTGTATTTTGTTTTGTGTTTATTCTTGTAAGAAAAAAATTCTTTTTCTGATCCTTGCATACACATTCTGAAATGTGAGCAAAACGCAGCATATATCTACAGAACAATTTTGAAGCCAAAGGAGACGAGAAGCAAGTATATATATTCCTTAAACAACAACTCACACTATTCGTCTACCCTTTCTAAAAGTAGCCTTTCCAAAACGCTCGTATTTTGTTTCCTTGGGATCAGAGACAGTAGGTTAAACATGGCAATTGGTTTGCTTTCTGGTTTTGAGAGCTTGAACAAGTTATGTCCTTCTGTTCAGTTTTCTCTTGTAAAGGGAGATAAACCAAGATGATTTCTCTCCTTTCAACTTTTTATTATGGAAAATGTTCAAACATACACAAAGATAGAGAAAATAAAGAACTGTCAATGGAGTATCACCCAATTGCACCATTTTCCAATGCATCATCAATCAGGTTTCATCTATTTTCTCATCCACTCATTTTTTTTTAATCACTATGCTCTTCCCTCAGTTTTTTTTTTCACTAAATCTCAAGAATTGCATATATCTTTTCATCTGTAAATATTTAGGAATGCATCCATAAAAATGTGAGAACTATTTAAAAAGAAACACAATAATGCTTAGATGTGCTTTTTTTCTTAATTAAAATTTATATGGAGTGATATCTTCAGATCTTAACTGTTCCTTTAAATCAGTTTTGAAAAATACATGCATTAGTGTAATCCACACAATTTTGAAGAAATAAAACATTTTCATCACCCCAGGAAGTCCCCTTGTGCCCTTTTTAGTTGTTCATATTCTAGAATTTCATAAAAAGAAAACCATGTACAGTGTGAACTATTTTTTGTATCTAACTGGCTTCTTTCACTCAGCCTAATATTTGTGAAATTCATTCATGTTGTTGCATGAATCAGTATTGTTTCTTTTTATTGCTTTCGATTGTTTCTTTTTATTACTGCATTTGATAAATGTTTTCCATTGTAACCCATCACAGCTATTTAATATAAATATTTAATATTCAATTGTGTGACATATTTATAGTTTAACAGGGACCTCCTGGAAAAGTCAAAGGGGTGAATGAAGTGACAGATACTTTAGATCCTGTGGCAGACCAAGGAGAGAATTATTTTGGAGTGGTTGTTACATTTTTGTGCTTCTTATAAAATAGCATGATTTCACAGCTTTATATGCTTGGCAAAGGACTAATGTACTGTATCATGTAATCATAACAAGAGGGTAAGTTAAGTTTTATTTTGTACCTTTTATAGATAGGAAATCTGACACTCAAAAGAATTCTGGTAAAATGCAAACATGTCCTAGCTCTTAAGTGACAGAGCTGAGAAAATCCAGCAAGAACTGTTACAAAAAGCACAATTACCTTCTGAATCGGCAGTACTCTATGGAAATTTAGAGAATGGGCATGAGAGAGGGGAGGAGGAAAAAGTGGGACCCAGTGCTGTTAGATATGACCTTTGAATTTCGATGTGACAATGGAAATCAAGGAGAACTTAGGTCCCAAAGCATCACATTCACATCTGAAATTTTGCCATTTCTATATTGGTAATTATCTGTAGGGGAAGATGATTTCCCATCACCCACATAAAAAAAAAGAAAATTGTAAAGTAATTTTGTTTCATTTATAAGACTATGTTTTATTCCTGTTTTCATCCTTCAAAGTCCCTTGAACAAAGTAAGCATTCAATAAACTTATAATTGCTGGGAATGGCAATAGTGACATTGCTTATGTTCCACCTACAGTCTCTCTCAGCTCAGTGTTCCCATGGAGGCAGAACTACTCCAGGACAAAGAATGGAACTGGAAGTTAAGAACTTTTTTTTTTTTCATCATTCAGTTGACAGCAGAGCCTTGAGTAAATGTTTAACTGTTTGAATATAACTTTAAACTTTAAACTAAAAAAACCCAATAACTCATTGAATGGCCTGTACCTCATAAGGAACGTGGAGGAATAGCTTAGTGGGAGGCATTATTAATGTGCATGTTTCGTTAATGACTACATTCATGTTTGATTTTCTCTTTGATAAATGAAAAATAAATATTTTGCCACTTTTTAATAGGATGGTTTATCTGCATTTAATACAGTCATTTAGCTAAAGATAAACATCCTATGAAAGGCATGATTAACCTAAACTTTCTTTGTCTTCCCCATAAAACAACTGACTTTTTTAGGTGTGCCATGTGAGGAAAGTATAATCTCCACCATCTTTGCATAATAGTGTGTATTTGTTGTGAACACAAGGAGTAATGGAATGTTGATTCTTGGGCCGATTATTTCTTATTCCCTGTCTGCA